ATAAGGCAAGTTCTTTCTGTGCGGCCCGGTACCAAATGCCCTGCGGACCGGTACCGGTCCGCGGACCGGCGGTTGGGGACCCCTGATCTACACGACCAAGGAAAAATACACCACAAAACTCACAAAAAGTTCAGGATGAGCCTATGATGCACTCGAAACCTTCCAGGTGAACTTAATTTGACCTTCTGTCAACTTTGAAATCATCAACCCAAATCATTGCCGATTATGTTTAATTCTCAACTCAACTCAAATGTATTTATCGAGTACTTTAAAACAACCACCGCTGTATACAAAGTGATGTACATGGAACAAAAATAACAACAATAGTAAAGTATTACAACACTACATATTTTCCTAATTTCATATCTGTGGATGAAATAGTGAAGTGTGCAGTCTCTGTTGACAAAATGCATGAGTGTGTATGTCCGCGCCGGTATACAAGGTGAATGGGGGCGAGGCAGCTTCTCAAAAATATCTACACACACACACACACGCACGCACACACACACACACACACACACACACACACACACACACACACACACACACACACACACACACACACACACACACTCTTTTATTCCCACTCACATCCTCTCATTGTGGCAACAAGCTTTTTCCTTGACAATCATGCCATGTTTTTGTGGTTTAATAAATATAAGGCACTAGACGAAAACCGTGATATAGGGTCGCGGTTTTCTGTGTGTCGCTAGATACATGGGGCTCAATCGCTCAATGTGCGATGGTTAATTCTGGTGGAGTTGAGCTTCATCATGTGGCAAGTTGAGCAAAAACTACAAAAACATTTAATACTACTATGCCTACTACTACTACTACTACTACTACTACTACAACTACTACTAATGATAATAATATATCAGTTTTATTTAGCACTGGACACTCAAAAAATAGATACTTTATTCATGCATCCAGAATCACACTCTAGTCGTGGTAAACTACGTTCAATAGCCACAGCTGCTCTGGGGCATGTTGACGGAAGCGTGGCTGCCAGTGTATGACTACAGCCCATTTGACCACCCCAAATAATGAACAACCAGCCATACACCAGTGTGAGTGACACTCGAGGCAAGGTGGGTGAAGTGACTGGCCCAAAGACAAAACGACACGTGACTCGTAAAGAGCAGGATTCGAACAGTCAACACTTTGGTGACTGGACAACCTGCTCTTCCTCCTGAGTCACGGCCACCATTTGATAGTCAGATGTGTGAATTTAAAATTTTTGAGAGCCAAGTATGACCTTTCCAGGTGGACTGCATCATAGGTTCATCCTGAAATTTCACCTAAAAGTGAAAGTCAAGTCAATACAAATAATAATATGCACTAATATGTTCTATGTGACGTTTACAGTTCTCGCCAGCACGTTATTGGCCACAATAATCTGGTAAAGTTTTACTGTGCATCGCTGCTGCCCTTGTTCTACCATTCAGTGGTCCCGCTGCCACTGGTATGAATCTGAGACTAGCAGCGATCAGGCTAGACAAAGTTAAGATAAGATAAGAAAACCTTTATAGTCTCACAGTGGAGAAATGTCCAGTTCACAGCAGCAAAGTTATGAGAGGAAGAAGTAGAAGAACAAAATAAATAGGAGCTGCTGGAAAGGCAGCCACTCTCGCGGCGCCATCTTGAAGTCAAAACAACACAATAAAACACGAACAACATGAGGCTTACGCTGAATCATGCCCCTTTGAATTTGAGTTCCGGTCGTGAACTGACATCATTGCAAACGTCACCACACATCTGTTTTCTGGGTTTGGTTCAGAACCTTATCTATGAATGAACTAAGAATCCTTCAACTCACTGTAGAGAGATGTGAAGCCACCGACGGCCATCTTACATAGCCAGCCTATAGTAATGAATGAAAGTGGGTGAATGAATCTGCTTAATTCCACGAAGAGAATTTTAATCAGAATTCCGTGTTTAGACTAGTGGGAGCACATGAACATTTTGACTTAACTTCCACTTGAAAGCGCCCTATACTAGAAACTTTTTGTGAGGAATGGTGTGTCTTGGCTCAGTAACATTTGGGAAACATTGAGAAGAGAGAATTGCGTTGATATCAGTAAATATCACTTTCGGTCCCTACAAAAGAAAGGTGAGTGTCTGAATCAACAAAAATGCATTCATGCTCATGTGGTATCGTCACTCTTCTCTGCCTGCTGGCACCGTTGGCTGCGACGACAGCCCGTTCTCCGCAGCATCCCGAGCCACCCTGTGCCGGCTGGGGGCCAGCCAAGGACCCGGCAGCATGGTGGCCCTGCGGCCGAGCGCTTGCACAGGAAAGCTAGAGATGCTAGCGGCGGACATGCTGTCATCTGATTGGCTGCCTCCAGACTCTGTCTCATCATACCTCAGCTGATTTACAGAAAGTGCAGAAGCGAGGAAGGAGAAGGGCTTCCTTTGTGGGACGGAGTATGTCCCGGCGTCGTTTGATAACAGCCCCTCTTGTGCATCCCCTGAAACCTCATCTTCCTCAAAATCCCGGAGCTTTTCTTCAAACTGGTGGGTGTCATCATCATTGTCATCATCGTCGTCGTCCACGTAGCCCTGGAGCTGCTTCATGGCACGGTAGCCTGCTGCCACTTTCCACATCTCGTCTGACTCTTCCTCACTCTCCTCTTTAGGCCTGGGAAGCTTTTTGTCAGGACTTGGAATTGGCAGCACATCTGGTCTATGTAACACCTCCTTTCCCTCTTCGACCTTTTCTTCCAGATTCTCCTCAACAGGAGCTGTTACCTGTTTCTTCTCTTTCCTCTCTCTGCTCCTCCCTCTCTCCCCTTTCCTCATCCTCCTTGCATGGCCGTCATCTGTCGACAGGGCTTCTCTGGGTAGACTCCGAGACGTCCTTTTTCGAGAACTCTCCCCTTTCTCGGGCTCCGAGTCGGGGCTTCGCAACACTGAGCGGCTTTCCGATTCCCACCTTCTCCTCCTACTTGTCCTTTTCTCACGTCCGTCCAAAGACTTGCCTCTCCTCTTCTGCTTGGAGCGGCGCCCCCTCTGCCTGCTGGAGTCTACTGCAGCCATACCCTGCTCCTTGGGGTGACGCAGGCGGGAGGGGGAGGTGATTCTGTGCTCACGGCCTGGACAGACATTGTACGGGGAACGTAGGTTGGGGATAAATTGTGGGAGGGTGGGGTTGAGAGGTAACGATACATGTTTGAAAAGCATGTTGTGCGAATTGATATGAAACTGTTTATTCACGCTTAAGATCTGCATGCAAATGTGCAACTTTATCGGCGACAGTGGTGCCTTGACTTGCAAGTTTAACTTGTTCCAAGACCACACTCATAACTCAAATCACTTGAATCTGAAAACATCGTTTCCCATCTAAATGAATGGAATTGCTTTTAGTAAGTTCCAGTTCCACCCTTAAAAGGGCAGCAAAAAGAGCTGTGTTTTTTAAAAAAGAAAAATAGGACTATATAGTACATTCTAGGGTCACAAATGCTTAGTAAAATTAGTCATTTTTAATTGTGGATTAAGAATATTTGCCTGTGAGTATTGTTACATTGTATGTCTAAATGTGTTGCTCCATCATTTGTGTTCAAACATAAGTTGCTAAAATGGTAATAATTACAGCAACATTAATACTCTTTTGTTAGCCCGTATGTCATTTTGTATTGTGTATTAGCATTAAGCTAACATTCTTTTGTCATTGCTCGCTCAAAATCGAGCTGGCTCTTTTCCATGCTGAGAGGAGCCAGATGAGGTGGCTCGGGCATCTGATTAAGATAACTCCTGGATGGGTCCCTGGTGAGATGTTCCGGGCATGTCTCTCCAGCAAGAGGCATCGGGGACGACCCAGGACATGCTGGAGAAACTATGGCTCCCGGCTGGAACTGGGAACGCCTTGGCATCCCCCGGGAAGCGCTGGAAGAAGCGGCTGGGGAGAGAGAAGTCTGGGCTTCCCTATTAAAGCCGTTGCCTCCGTGACCTGAGGCGGTACATAATGGATGGATGGATGGACTCTTGTCATCCATTATTATCCGAGCCAGAGTCACACCTCGGGACAATTTTGAGTGTTCAGTTAACCTACCATGCATGTTTTTGGAATGTGGGAGAAAACTGGAGTACCCGGAGATAACCCACGCAGGCACGGGAAGAACATGCAAACTCCACACAGGAAGGCCAGAGCCGGAATCGAACCTTGTACCTCTGTACTGGAAGGCTGACGTGCTAACCAGTCGACCACTGTGCTGCGTTTGGTTAAATACAAAAGATGAAATTCTATTTTGTATAATATTTAGATTTGCAGCCAAGTTCAACCATGAGTGGCTATAAGCTTTTTTGTGGGAAACCACTGTTCACTCTTTGCCAAGGTGCTGTTGTTTGTGAAGTTCTCTGCAGCCATTAAGCCTTTATAGCTTAGGACAAAAGGAAAAAAAAGTTGGCCAAACGAGGGCTCGTGTCTTGAAAAACTTGTAAATTAGGTCATTCACAAGTCAAGGTACCACTGTACATTCATCGTTCAGGTAAACTGGACGAGAAATTTGAGATGTGCATGCCATTATGTTGAAGTTAGGAGATTAAGAACAAGTGTAAGCTTTCTGCTAGTGTATACAGTTGTGTTCAGAAAAAAAGAATTGAAAGCCTTTTTTTGTCATAGTATAGTGCAGATATAACCCACTTAAGGGTGAAATTCCATGTCAGTGTGATCAAGAATAAAAAATATACAAGTAGCTGTGGAGTCAGGAGTAATTTAAAAGTGTGGACCAAGTATTATTGTCACCGGTATTGTGTTTTTGTGAGCTCAGAGCAGTGATGGCTTGTGGCAAGAAGGTATTGCTGAGTTTGTTCAAAGTTGGTGCTCTGCATTTTTCCTCCACAAACTATACCATTTAATTTACAAATACCGGTATTGTGTTTTTGTGAGCTCAGAGCAGCTCTTGTGGCAAGAAGCTATTGCTGAGTTTGTTCAAAGTTGGTGCTCTGCATTTTTCCTCCACAAACTATACCATTTAATTTACAAAGGGAAAAATGTTGAATGATTTTTACTTTCCTGTGAATCACAGAAGTAATATATTGTTTAATTAGCACGGTGTAGTTCACCAACTTTATGGCACCTGTGAACATGCCAAGACAATTGGACAACTAACTTTCACTGAAGGCCAGCAACTTGTAACATATTTATTCAGCACATGCTGTTTTCTTTCAACAATGGGACTTTGCAGGGGCTTCTTACCAACAGCTCGTCTTCGCACAGGTATCTTCAAGAAATGCAAAGGAATTGTGCAATGTAGTCCAATGGTACTGGATTGGATTAGCAGATCACAGGTGCCACAAATGGGTGGACTCCATGCAACACAGATGTGAAGCAGAAACGGCGCTTATTCATCTCATTATCACTTCAGTGATTCGTGCAAAAGCGACCCCTTTCAAACATTACCCTTTGCAGGGTAACCATTTTGAGTTCGAGGAAGAACAATAGATTTTCATCACTTTCTGTGAAGGAATTAAACATTTGATCAAGTCTTTTTGATCGTGAATATATTGTGTAGGGTTCACGAGGGCATTTGTGGAAGTTGTCAGGAGCTGTACTCATGTTACGTTTCAACACGTTGCTATTATTCCAAACACAACTGTATGTGAGGACACAGCAGTGACCGAGCGCGGGAATGTAGAGAGACAGAAAATAAGAGAACTAACAGGAACCATACCAACCGCGTATTTTCTGTCCGTCCAATCACATAGAAGCAAGGCTCGCCTAATTTGGAGTTGGTCATACAAAGAGACAAACTGGAGAGCTCCACTGAGAAAAAGAGAATGGGCGGAATGAGCAGGAAAGACGGGAGTGAAAGGAGAAGGAAACATGTAAAACCAAGAATGGAGAGAATTATGAGCATGGATGAGTTACAGGAAGGAAAGTGTGCCCAAAAGACAAGCGTTAGAAAAGATTTAAGCATTGAAAGAACAAGGAGCCCCTTTGAGGACTTCCTGGTCTCATGCGCGACATTGTCACTCGAATGTGATTGGTTCTCACCATAATCGGGCACATATCCGTTTCCTCTCTTGAGGACCAGGTGGATGCGGTGGCCCCCTCTGCGAATCTGCTCCACTGCCTGACTGTGAGTCATCCCCGCCGTGCTGTCGCCGTTAATCTCCACAAGCTGGTCACTCACCTGCACGGCGATCAAAACTGTCTGAGTAAACACCCATTTTATCATGTTGAAGCGACGATCGTCACACGTTGTACAAAGATAGGCACACGTGTCCAGCACGGCACATACGCATCTCATGACTGAAGACTTTGCTCTCGAGATAATAGATGGAAATTCAGCACACTTTATGGGTAGAGTCAGACGATTCTCACACATTTCCTATTGGTTCTTTTTCGCACGGCACGGCATCGAAATTCAGCACCGACATTAACAAATCTGTCAGATTCTGTGAGAACTGGAATTTAAGTCGTTATTCTTCTCAGTTTACGACTATCGATGCAAAACCCTATGCAGGGCCAGATTTACGCCGGCCATGAAAATAGAGCCCTAAATATTTAAAAACAACCAATTCTTAATGTTAATTGCAAACTTATCGATCTTTCTAGTTATATACAACTGAACTGGACATAGGCAATGATTCTTTTGCGACAGTGGGCACTATTTGGATTGTGATTAATGTGAAACATTCTCGGGAAAAATGATGTCCCATCACTGGTGAACTATTTAGGCCCACAGTCGTCTTTGGAATCAGCTACGATGGTGATTCCCTGCACTTACCTGTATCTTTTGGCTGCGCGAAGCAGGCCCTCCCTCCATCAGTCCCAGGACGTAGAGTCCCATGTTGTACTCACTGCCCCCTCGGAGGCTGAAGCCAAATCCTGAGGGGCCACGATCCAAGTTGACACTGTAATACCTGGAATCACGTTTGGGACGCGACCTCTGACCCTTCCTGCTTCGGTGTCCGAGTTCGGACTCCACGGGTTCTGAAAGGCTTGTTGAGTCTGAGGGAGATGATACTGGTCATGTCAGAGCAATTATTTTGAACTTTGTGGACATCAGTGTGCCATGACAGATTATTATCTATGGTGAAATTTCACTTGGGGGTCTGAAAATTATTGTTTACAGCAAACAACAAATAATTGCCCATCTATCTACCTACATGCAGTGAGAGGCAGGACAATGAAATGCACTTCCACTTGATGTTAGTAGGTACAATTCACCTGCTGCCATGTCATTCATCGAACAGAATAGCTTGATGTTCTACTCAACAGGTCCTTTGTTCATTGTCAGTACAGTTCAGGGTCAGGATCATCACTACTTCAATATAAAGCTATGAAAAAAATTAAGGGAACAAAAAAAATAGACCTTTTGTGGTATTATTACCATTTTCCATTTTCTAAAAATTAATGCTCTAAATCACAGGTGTCAAACTGAAGGCCCGGGGGCCAGATCTGGCCCACCAGGTCATTTTATGTAGCCCGTGAAAGCAAATCATGTGTCATCTTGCTAAAATCTGTACCGAAATGTCAAATTGTCATGTGTAATAAATAACGTTGCGATGTTGCAAAAATTTTGTTACCCTGTTCACACTCACTTGAACAATAATTGAACAAACTATTATAATTGATATGACTGATCTCAAAACTAGGAAGCTATTAATTTGTTGTGTACAAGTAATAATTTTGTGGTTTCACTGCCATAACGGCCATCTGAGGGAAGACGCAACTCCAAATTGGCTGGCGAATAAAATGAGTTTGACACCCCTGCTCTAAATGATAATTTTAACTTGAATTTGGAAATTATGTTGTCAGTAGTCTTATACAATTAAACAAAAATGTCCATTTTACTCAAACATACTGTATATCTTTAAATATCAAAATAAGAGAAACTGTTAATTTTATAGTGGTCCCTTCATTTTTTCCATAGTTGTAGAGTTGACTATACAGTGGTGCCTTCAGATGTGACTTCAATTCGTTCTGTGACCACGTTCATGACTCAAAACACTTGCATCTCATTGGAAATGCCGCCCCACTAAAAAAACAACACACACACACACACACACGCACACACACACACACACACACACACACACACACACACACACACAGACACACACATATATATACTGTATATGTTACAATGCAAAATATATCTACACAACATAATAGAGTTGACTAAAATATTGAGAATTTTAACTGTTTTTGCCACTTTTTTACTTCAATTCAATGAACATTGTGCTGCTCCTTCAGGTGTGTGCACCTTGTCTACCTGGGGCAGAATCAAGACATATGGATATACATTGGACCCCTGCATATGCATTCGGGCACCTGTAGATTCAACTATTTGCATTTACGGTATGTGTTTGATGTTTTTGTATTTTAAAAATAGTTCATTTTGGGGGCAGGGGAGGCAACCCCATGTTCCACTGAAAAAGCATATTGGCAGTACACCTCTGCTTATTCAAGATTTTTTTAGGGTTTTAAAAAAATGCTTGTGTTCCCCAGTGCAATTGACTGTCTGTCAGTTATACGTGGATATTTGACATTTGTGGGCCAGCCCATTCCCTATTCCCCGTGAATAATTGGGGTCCACTTGTACAGGAGTGAACATGGAGAGAATCACAGCTCCTCACAGAGACAGTCACAGTAGTCCTTCTTCAGAGAGGATAAATAATATATGCCTGTATGCACTGTTTTCATTGTGGTGTCGCTTGTGTTCAAAGACAGAAATGTTATTCGTTAGTCCAACTATGGCATTTCCCATCATGCATTAATCGAGCAAACTTAAAGGGAAAGTTGTGTGGTTGTTTTAAATACATATGGTGTAATTCTATTTGTTAGGTTTTAGAGTAAACTTTACCTGGGAGTGGCAGCTTGAAGACTCCTTGAAAAATTGTTGACTATCAGCCAAACTGCTGCTTGAGTTGTGAGTTGAGCTCACTGCCACCCTTGTTCAGTGCTTGTATCTCAAGTTTTTGCTTGCAAGTAAAGGAAATATTTTGAGCAAACTACTTGTATTTCAACAAACTTGAAAGTCAGGTCACTCATATCTTAAGGCACCAATGTACTTGTTGCACCATTTTTGCTTCGTGGAGTTCTGAGAGGGTTTTCTAAAGTAAAATATTTGTGTCTGACCAATTGACGGTTGGGAAATCCTGCATAGGTGTGAAGAGGCACGACGTGACGAGTGGGACGTTTGGCTTACAGGTGCTAGGCCGGGGGACAACAGTGAGACGGAGCGTGTTTCCTGCCCGGCGAAGGATCTGCGCCAGCTCACGGTGAGGCAGCGTCACCACCGAGCGTCCTTCGACGGCCTCCAATCGATCCCCTGGCCGAATCTGACCACTCTTGGCTGCCGGGCTGCCTCGGCGCACTGTGACAAAACGATGTGGCAGAAGAGATGCGGCTGTACAGAGAAGAAAGAAATAGGGTGGAATGTTAATGGACTTATTGTTCTTCGGGAAGTCCAGCTTCTTTGCACATGCTAATGTTTGGTTCACTGAAGACTATATATCAAGCATAAGCAGGCATGGCAGGCTTCATTCTGAATGGATCCTCAGTTCATTTCCCTTCCCAAAAATAATGAAATAATTTTCATTTTGGCAGGAGGGAAATTAAGAACATGTTTCCTCTACTACAATGGATTCCCACATACTTGCATTTCGGCACTCACGGGTTCTCCTATTGATGGATTTTTCTTCAATATCTTTTCATATTTTGTTTTTGGGAGTTTTTTTGCTGAGGAATTTTCCCCTTGTGGAAAATGTATACTGGAGTTAAAGTAAACACACCTCTCTCTCACTCTCTCTCTCTCTCTCTCTCTATTATATTTGTACTTATTGGCTTTACCCCGCCCAAAAAAGCATGATGATATGATTGATTTGACATGCAACTTCTCTGTGGAGGGTTTGAGGGCAGGTTTACATTTTGAATGACTTGATTTTTTAACACACTTCGTCCACTCTCTCCCAGCTTGTGCTTTGGAGCATCTGTCAAGCCATCAACTGCACTGCCTCACTCCTCAGGCACAAACTACCACAGAACACAAACTTTCCTGTGAAATTTTGCTACCTCGAATCTGTCAGTGGCAGACTTGTGGTGTTTGCTTGTATGCTCATTACTCTTTAAATTTATTGAGGAGCTGCGCTTATTATCATGCTCCATTATGAAGGGTTGCTCCAACCTGCAGCGCCTGTATGAGTAAGCTACTGTTGATTTCATGATATAAAAACTCATTCATACCGCAGGCTATCAACTTAATTAACAAACAATTAGAGGGAGGCAGACAGACAAGCAGGAGGACATGAGGGCAGTGTGGGGTGTGCATATGTCTGTAATGTATTATCCAATGTGTGTAGAATATATATTGTCCTGTACCGCATGTATTGTACAATGTATGTTGTGTATTGTATGTAGTATGTATTGCCCAATACATGTAGCAGCACAGAGGGCCTGTCCTCCGAGACATGTTTCTCCTACAGGAGACCAAATAAAAGTCCAATTCAAATTCAAATAATCCTTTAAGCAACTGACATTGGCACACAAACAGTACATCAATGCATGTAGACAGACGATATCAAAATGCTCACATGCATATATTTTTAATCTTATGTTCTGTGTCACTTACAATACTCAACTCGACTGTATTTATAGAGCACTTTAAAACAACCATTGTATACAAAGTCCTGTACGAGGAGCAAATATCATATACTGTATGTACAACAACAACAAAAATAAATTTATAACGAAGACAGTAGAAAGCACAAAACAGTAAAACTAAGTCATGCCGAGTCAAATGCCAAAGAATACAATAGTTGTGAAACTCTTCATAGTTTCTGTTTTCTTGACTGTTTTATACTGCCCCCCCGTTGGCCAATTTGCACATACAAGAAGGATTTGAAGTACTAAATTAATCATGATACACAAACTGTTGAATGAATTTGTTTCATTCTCATCAGTTATGCTATTTCTAAATATTTTATAAAGCAAATGCCATAGAGTGCTATATGTCCACATTGAACTTTTTTTTTTCCTTTATTTTACAATTTGTTTTTTGGGAACCAATTAAAACATATCCCATTCATTTCAATGAAGAAATATGATTTTAGAGATAGGTCTCACAAGCACGACCATGTAACAAATCAAACTCACACCTTCAGGCACATTTAGTTCATTCAAACATAAAAACTAAAAATAAAACAAAACTCATAGACATTAGTAGTGCCGCTAGTGCATTACTGCGAGTGCAAGTCGAAATATCCTGATGATAACACTTATCTCTCAATAGTTCCTCCTGCTGGCAGCAGCTGGGCCCTCTCAGGCCTTCACAGCAGTGTCCCTGTTTAACCTACACAGCAGCATAAACTATTCATTCAGATGACGCACGAACAGTTCCTCACACAATGGGTAAAAACAGACAATTGAAAAGCTGCTCCACCAATCTAAAATGCCTTCACTTTGTGTCATAGCTATGGAAAAAAGTTAAGTGACCAAAAAAAGACGAAACCTTGATTTTTATTTTCACCATTTTTAATTTCGCCAAATAAGCACTTTAAATGACGATATTTATAGAGTGGTGTGAATACTGGGAAACACTCATTGTGCAAATGCTTTTTCAGCATTGAAATGAATGGAAATGGCAAATCAATTTTTTTTTTATAAGAATAGCACTCTGTATTATTGTCATTTAAAAAAACATACAAATGAACAGAATGAGAAGAATCAGTCCCTCATTGATAAAATCATTGCCACTCAACCTAGTGCGTTTTACTTGGCCATCAGGTGGCAGTATAATACAGTCATGCCAACAAACAAGAAAGAGGTCCATTTGACTGCTGGAAGTGACTCAGTAGTGTGCAGTTATCTTAAGTGTTCTTCGTAGAGGATAAAGAATACATGCCTGTGAATGTGAGTCATTAGATTGTCTACTGTACATGCGTTGATGCATCTTTTATTTTGAAATATACATTGCTTGAAGCGTTATAACACGGGCACATAGATGCTAATCATTTGCCTGTTTATGACTTTTTACATTATGGTTTAACGTTAAGCTAACAGAATCAAGTTATGAGGTTGTTTTAAATACAAAATCTGTAATTCTGTTTGTTTTCTTTTTAGTTTTAGAGTAAACTAGAAGTGGCATTAATCATTGCTGGTGTCACATGGCAACCACTGTATTTCGGGAATTAAGGTGTTATGTTGTCAGAAGTTTATAAGGTGCAACAGAAATGCTCATTTTAGTCAAACAACTGGACCCGCAAAATCAGAGAAAGCGATCATTTTGAATTTGTCCCTTCATTTTTCTTAATTCGGAGGCCATGAGACACATGTTCATTCTAGGCCTATAATCTGGGTGGCCCAGGCAGAAATGGCAATCAGGTCAAAGCAGACGCCAGGGCAGCTTTGAAATAGTCTTCTTATTGCGTATAATCCAACAGCGGACCATCAACCTCTGCCAAATAATGAATTCCAAACTCATGCACAAGCCCCACTCACGTGCACGCACGGTGACTCACGCAACACACTAAGACAAATGTGCTGAGCTAAACACACACACACCAACAGCACACGTTCAAATGGACTCCTTCCTATCAAATTGTCCTTCCCTCCGGCATTCTATGTTGTCCTTTCCAGAGTAATCCCACCGCAGCCAGCACGGTGACAACGTGCCGCACTGAGAACTACCGCTGACCAGCATCAGCACCAGCACCAGCACCAGCACACTCCTCCACCTTACGCCATCATGAAAAATCCACTCTATGCAACCCAGATCAGCTCGTGCAGCCTGCTGACGCTAAGTACACGTCTGAGAGGACAAACCGTTGTTGATCCTGAGCAAGCAGCATCTGTCATTTCTGTTAAACACATTCATTTTACAGCCCTGAGTGCCCTGTGCATTAGTGAAAGGCTGCATTACATTTTAGTTAAGACAAACACAGGTCTGGGGAAATGAAATAAATACATCAAGAGACCAAAACACACTTCTTTTGTATTTTGAGTATTTTTCATTTGATGCAAATGGTTGCTCTTCATGACAATATTCGTATTTTAATCAAACGTGCATCTATCTAATCGCAGAATCAGACAAAGTGACAATTTAGCAGTGATCATTTAACTTTTACCAGATCTAACATTCTCTTTCTTTTCCCTGCAAAAAGACTGAAATAACATTGGAACACAGCTTAATTTAGCCCCTGTTCGTCACGGCCGTGTGAGCACGTGGATGCAACGTCCACATGGCACACAGTCAACATGTCGGGCTGAGCAAACTTGTGGGCTCCATGATTCAAAGCTTCCAGCTGATGCACCCAACTGAATAAAAGGGAAAAAACAGCAAACCTGCACCTGTAAGTCAAAAACAATAAAGGACAAGCAAGCAAAGCAAATCATTACGTTTAGACTCTTTCACAGTCCTCAAAGCGGACTGTAGTCTCTCCAGCATGGCTCTCGGGGAAAGTCGAGGTTTCAAATATCGAGACAAAACTCCTCAGTTCCGTGTCATGCTGTTCTCCAAGGCGCTGATGTTCACAACATGGAACCAGGAGCTCAAACGCAGGCTGTCCCCTCTGTACCACAGAAGCATTTCGCTTAAGCAGTCAGACAGCAACGTAGAGAGCAGGAGGTGGGTGGGTGGCAGAGGGAGGGAGGCAGGCTGAGTTTTAATCTTTTGAAAAACCAGACCGGACATTTTTACTGCAGAGTAAAGGGGTGGCGAGGGAGACGTAGAAGGGAGAGAGAGAGAGAGAGAGAGAGAGAGAGAGAGAGAGAGAGAGAGAGAGAGAGAGAGAGAGAACAAGTGAGGGCACGTGAGAAAGAGTGGGGCGGGGGGTTGAAGGAGAGAAGGTAATGTGAGCGACTTCATTCCGTGACATGACAGGAGAGAAATGAGGGAGAGCGAGAGTACGCAATGAAGACGGATCAGATGTGGGGACAGGCGCACCCACAACATCAATCTGGCCGTGAAAAATGCTCGAAATGTGCATGTTGGCTTGGGCCATAAAGGAAATTGAAGTGCATCACGGTGGAACAGAGGGCAGCCAATAGAAGACAAAGGAAGCTCTGACGGGGGCCATACATCACAGGGATGCGCTTTACACTAAACGGTCAAGGCAGCGCAAGACCGCTCCTGCGTCTTGTCAGTTGGGAGCGCATATGTGCTGGTGTCGAACTGTCATAAGAAGGTCAGCTTGTGTGCCACCCCATAGACACATAAAATCGCAAAAACGTCAAACAAATAGTAGGAAGATTCGAAATACATACCCAGAGAAAATCCCTTTTCAGACATGGTCATAGTGTTGCACCAAGTTCCAGGAGCAGTACCAAACGGAAATTTTTCCGTGCCATAATGACTCGGCACCATGACCGGGAGCGTTGAACAGACACAGGGAAAAGCCTCTTCGCTAATTGTGTTCTAAAGCTACGGTGCTATGAGCGAGCACACTGGCGGCCAGACCGGGCATACACAATTCTGTTTCAAATTCACTTTTATTTTAATTTTTGGACTAGTTTAGTCTTGGTGGAGGTCTATGATAAGCTTAGTAACCTCAGAGTTTTATTTGATCATGATAACATTGCTGAAACAACTAAATCTTCTGGCGTTTGATGGCCCAAGACATTTGTAAAGTTCTGGATATACAGTACGTATAAAATGTTCAGCTGTGTTTAAAAAATGTTTTGTGTTCAATTTTCTAAAGTGTTTAAACATGTCCCCACTGTATGCTAATAAATATCCTTATCATTTTTTGAATCAATATCTATAAAAAGAATTTGAAGTAGTTTAGCTGTCAACTTTTATTCCACTGTGTTTGCTTATTTTTAGTTAGTTTTTGCTGCAGTATCATTCCAGCAATTGGTATCTAGGTACAATATCCCTGTCGTCCCCATGACCAAATATGGTAAATTTCATATTTCTTCACAAATCTATACTATTGATCGGTCCACACGTGCCCGTGCTGTGTTTTTGAAATATGTTGACCGATCTAAAGTGTTGAAAATGGCTTGAGGACTTGGACAATGAAACTCTTTAGAGCACTAATCCCTTGTTTATTGTTGCAGTGACACACATATTTTTATCTAACTATTATTAATAATAAAGCTTCACTCGTACACAGCATTATCAACAGTCAGTGTCTGCATTTGAAGTGCAGGTGTTATTATTGTCCACTTGGGGTCACCATCTACCCATTCTAATCGACACTGTAGTAACTTGTTATTGTGTGGGTCTTTAAGGCAGGCCTTTGACCAAAACTGATTCTCGTTTTTGCCTAGGAAATTTCATTTCCTATCCTATCTGAGTGAGATGACCATGGAAGTCCTTGGAGGACAGGATGTTTCAAATTCTAAAAATGCTGAGGAACCGTGAAGGACCCATTTGCAAAGGTTACTCCTGACCAACCTTTACGAAAGAATATTACCCAAAATTCTTTAGGTCAGCATCATTTGAACTACCAATGCCATAATGGACCTCAACATGAACGAAACTGAAAAAATAAACTAGATACAAAACAAGACTATGTTTGTAAAACAGAAATCACTGCCAACCTTAATGGGTGACCTGACATGGGAGGCAGGAACAAGGGACAACCTTTTGTAGCATGTCATGTGCAGAAACATCACTACAGAAGCTTATGTGTGCCATTTTAAAATGCTTCTCCTGGCGCTTCAGATTCCCATTTTATTATTATTTATTTTTTTTTAACAATGCCATCAGTGAATTGCAGATCAAACAAACTGAATGACAATAAACAAAAAATACATGTATCTCAACGGCTCTGCTCGCTACTTGCAATTGCAGACTGCTGACTGCTATCAACTTCCTGTGATGCAGGTCATGCGCCCATGTAGATGAAAAGGTGACCTACTTTTTTATCTGATCATTTTTCAATCTGTTTTTTTGTTTTTGTTTTGTGAAAGTAAAACTGATCAGATGCTTATTGTGCAGTACACACAAAAATATATATTAATAACACACAAAAAGACAGAATTATTTTTCCCCCCGCATTTCTCCCGTCACCCCCCACGGTTGACTTGAGACCACTCCACGGACTACTGGTCAACCGCGACTGACCGGTTGGGCACTCCTGATTCAAAGCAACAGGACAGTGACGCAGTTGACGGACAACGCAAAGACAGTAGTATTTCACGCTCAGGACTTTAAAAATTAAAAAAAAAAAACAAACAAACAAAAAAACACTCACTTAAAAAATACAAATACATCTTTTTATGGCAAGTGGATAATCAACGGGACCAAGAAATATACGTTCAAAGCAAAAGGAAAGATATGGCTTATGTAAGCAATACTCGTCATCGCACGATGATGTCAGTTAGGAAAAGTGGAGTTGAATTGATTTGAACCGGTGCTGTGCTTTCCTGCATTTGAAAGGAGGCATTTTTTCATCTCTCCTTGACCGGATGATGTCGTCCTACAAAGTTCAAGAAAGGTGGCATAAAGGTTAGGAGATTTCATTTTCCGAAGAGGCCCATTGTCTGCCGAGTTACTGTATGCGGAAGTGAGTGTATGGGAACGTTCTGATGGCTGTGCTGCCTTTAGCTTTAGCTTTGGTGTATGCAGAGTGACGGCATCAGTTGAGGCCATCGGCAGGTCAGCAAGCATAGGCTTGTGTGTTGACTGTATTTTGTTCGATGTTTGTTCAATAACCAACAACGACCCAAACCACCTGTTATGAATTACAGTCTGTTCTAACTAGTGCCGGTAAGCTAAGTTAAATTAGTTAATGATGTTTATTTTAGCAGAGACTGTACAGTCGAGTAAGTTAAGACAGTTGCGCAAAAGGCACTTTGAACTTAGGCTTCTTTTATGATGTGTGAAATTATCCCAAACTTTGGTCAATCTCTGCCTGTTACGCACGCTTTCCTTATGGCTTGTGGTTATTTATTGTTTTGTGAGTCAGCAGTAGCAATCCATATCAAAAAATACTCGTATATCACTACAAAATCCTGCAATATGGCACGTAATCAGCAAAACCGGTGATATAGCAAGAGACAGCTGACGTATGTGCGAGGGTTTTCCACGCCTTCCTCCTACATTCCAAAATCTGCCATTTGCCTGTGCCTCTGTGGGTCTGATCTCACGGACAATCCAAAAGTGACCCTCTTTTTGCATAAAAGTACTGACTAGTTCCACTTGCAACTTCCGCTGCAGTTTTAGACGTCTCACAAACCAAGTCATTGCATTCATCACTCAGGAGATATTACTAACCTTTGGTGTTCTCCAGATCTTGAGAGGCAATGACAAAGCCAAAACCCTCCCCTGGTTTTCTCTTCAGCTCCACATCGAACCCTCTCAGGGGTCGAACCCTTTCGTCTTCTCGTATTTCCAGTCCTGAATCGGGTTCTGTGACTCTACCGGCGTCATCCTCCAGACCTGTACTGATCCAGTCTTTGGGCTCCATGGTCAGGGTGACCGGAATGGACTCCAAGAAGCTGGTGCTCTGGATCAGCGAAGAACTCGTGGGGGCTGTGGATGGCGGTGTGCCGAATGACGTACGTGGAACAGGTAAGGCATCAGTGAGGATGGATGTGTCGACTGAGCCACCGGGTGGAGGAGGGGGGCGGAGCAGAGGAGGGGGGAGTCTCCGAAGGGAGCTGGGGGAGATGGATTGATAGATGCCTGAAGATGATGATGATGATGATGATGAAAGAGACAAAAAAATAGTCAGAAATAAGCAACTGCTTAACAGTGACTTGAAAGCAAATGTTTGACATTTTACCTCCCCTATACACCAACAGTGTGACTTCTCCCTGTTTAGTGTGCTCCTGAAGGACGGTTTGTACCTGCAAAAACAATAATATGTACAGTATGCAGATGGGACAAATTTACTCATAGTCTACGCATTCACTGGCAGCCGTTTTGGCAGTGGTCACTTGTCTTTTAACAGTTTCTCATGGTTTTATTGTCTCCCATTCTTTAGTTATCAGCAGTTCAACATGGGTTGGTTTAACCAAAAAGGGTTGGCTTGATATTCACAGACAAACTGTCATCCTCCATGCCGAGCCATTGAAAAACGTATTTGGCAGTGAACGAACGGTTGGATTCCAGTTGCAGAACGTCAACATCCAGGGCAGTGAATGAGTGAAGTTGAAGCAGAGATACAAAAAGACTTTGGAAAACATTGAAATACTGATGCAATCCCTGTACTGAAGTAAAACTACAGACTCTGAAATGTGAATAAGTACCGAGCAAAATGAAAACATCAAAATGATTTTTGTTGTTGTTCGTATACCGTACAATATAGGCGGCCATTTTTGATAACTTGGCATAATTGAAAGAGACTCCAGACAAAATAGTTTGCCTCTTTTTTTTTAATTTACTAAAAACATAGATGGAAAAAATACGATTGTTAAATTACAACATGCAAATGTTGTGTAGATAAATTTTTTCTTAGTGCAAACTCAATGTAAGTTAAAATAAAAGAAAACAATTTTGTGAGCAGAGGTTTCTCTGTCATTTAATTCATTTCAGAGCTTGTACTTTTTTTTCTTTTTTTTTTTTTTTTAACTTGAGTGCAGGATTTGAATCAGTAATGTCAGAGATGTTCGCTCGGACAGTTGAACAAAGGCTCGAACGCAGGAACGGATCGACTTTCACTGCCAGCAGCAGGCGCAGTTTTCTATGAAGCCACTCTTGTGCGCGCTTCTCAACTGACACCCGACCTCTGCAGCCTCTGTCGGCTTTTTATTGATGTGTATGCAAATTACAAGTAATATATCAGAGAAAACACTCCCATCTTCATTTACATACCTCGCCCCTGGACGGCCCCAATAGGTCGCCCCTCAGTGGACCCCTGGTACCAGCACCCACATCCATAAGCCAACAGAAACGTCGACATTTTAATGAGTGGCCTTTCCATGAACTGATACATCTGTAACCTGGCTAGTGACCATTTCTCATGATGGAGCGGACCGAGTATTTCCTTTCGCCCAAAGTTGAATCTTCCTTTCCAAGTTGTCAGTTAACAGGCGCTTGTGGGTCCATTCACCTCAAATTGACCCCTGATTCTCTGTGCTCCATTGTGTGCAAGCTGTACGATCACATGCGTTCGAGGTCAATCAAGCATGGAACAAAATGAAACTTTTAAACATGATAACATTGTGTTTGTCAATTCTCCATCAGTACTTCTAGGTTGACCGGTCTTTTTTTTTCCTCAAATACAGAATGAAGACCTTTGCCACCTTTGACATATCTATAAAGCAGAGTGTGAGTTGAATTTCTCCTTGAGGGATTAAAATGGCTCTAAAAAGTAGTCAATGCCATCTCTGGAGAAATTGCATGCAAATGTGGAAAAACTGAAGCCGACCTGAAATAATTTGGAATTAATTGTGGAATGATATTGGTAATGCAGAAAGATTTGATAAAAATGTCTTAGTTTGGGGCTTTCATTTTGGGTGAAAAATCTGGAATGGTGGGAGATTTTGAACCGTCAAAAAGTAACAGACCGGATGGGGAGAAAAGTTTTCATTACCTCCATTCATTCAAAGCAGTTGTTACTTCAACGTAGTCAAACGTTTCCTACCTGACCAAGGCTGAGACTCTGCACGTCAGCTCCATTTATTTTGACAATAGCATCCCCTGGCTGCAGAGTGTTGCACTGCTTCCTGTCCCAAACTCTCCTGACGACCGTCATCCCGCCCCCCGGCCCGCCGCCCATCATGCTGAAACCCAGGCCTTTGTCTGCCTCAGTCTGCGCCAACGCTACCGGCACCAACTCGCCTCCGCCGAACCCGCCGCCCGCACGGGCCATTTTGTGGGGGCTGGCCATGGGGCTGTGGTTCCCATGGAGACCATTAAAACCGTGGTGGCGGGGGCTCTCTGGCGTCGGAGGAGGTCGGAGGTGAGAGGGTTGCGGTCTGAAGAGGCGGGCGTGAGCGCTGCGAGGACCGCCAGGGGACGACGAGGGCCTCTTTGGCGACAGAGGCAGCGGGAGGCGGGACACGGGCAGCGTACAAGTGGATAGGTCGCTCTCCGATGACTTGATGGATGTGCCGTACCGTAAAGGATGCTGGGGTGTTGACAACGAGTTGTTGTTGTGATTACGAATCATTGATGCCCTGACGAGGAAAAAGAAAAAAGTGTTTTGGAAAGGAATCATTACTTTTAAAATTTTTTGCTTTATATCTTTGATGTAAAATGTGTTGAAGCATCAATGAAATTATGTTGATTCATTATTACAGTTCACCATCACCTATTTGCAATTTATTATTCGTGATATTCACCATTTTTCTTTTTTCTTTTTTTTCTGAACCTATCGGAAACAATTACAGCTCAAAAGCTTACCAATTACTAACTGGCATCAAGGAAGTATAGTGAAGGGATAAAAATCCACTGCTTAAGATATTTGTATGTAAGGGCAGAAATAATTTCAGTCTGGGTTATTAACAGAAATTGTGGTGTGTCTATGCTGCATGTGTCTAGCAACGATCAATACAAATCATAGATTTTTGTGATATAGCAGGCATCAAACCATCCATTTTCCGATCCGCTTTATCCTCACAAGGGTTGCGGGGGTGCTGCAGCCTATGCCAGCTGTCTTCGGAACACCCTCAACTGGTCGCCAGCCAATCGCAGGGCACACACAGACGAACAACCATCCACGCTCGCACTCACACCTAGGGACAATTTGGAGTGTTCAATCAGCCTGCCATGCATGTTTTTGGAATATGGGAGGAAGCCGGAGTACCCGGAGAAAACCCACGCTGGCCCGGGGAGAAAATGCAAACTCCACACAGGAAGGCCCGAGCTGGAATTGAACCCGGTACCTCTGCACTGTGAGGTCGACACGCTAACCACTGGACCACCGGGCTGCCCATGTAGCAGGCATTTCTGCGAAAAACAAGCACTAGATAGGTTTCACCCCTCATTTGACCGGATGTGGATTGTTTTTCAGCATTTTTTGGGCACGACATTCATCAAGGAGGAGACCTGGTGCTTGGTGGTTGCGCCTTCTCGGCAGCATGGGCATACCAGCACTGTTTTTGATTGGGAGGAATGTCGGTGCCATTTGACTGTCATTGCTGGACAGCTCTGGGGCGCTTGTGTTTTTTTGCGCCTGTAATGGGAAGCACTTTACACAGCCCCGCTTTGTTCAGCGGAGAGATCGGTGCTGTTGGATGGTCTGCGGCTGGATGAATGCAAGGCTTGAGGAGCCGACGATGAGAAGAAAGGAGCGTCAGCGCAGAGCGCCGATGCGGATGTGGAACTGGGAGTCGCGGCTTGGAGTTGAAGCGGATTACGTGGGACAGGAGATGTGAGCCAATCTCTTTTCGTCAATGGACACTAAAGCTTCGTGTTTGCTTTCAAAACTTAGCTTGTAGCAGACGTGTGCACATTTTCAGCATGATGTCTCTGATCCACTGTTGAAAGGACACTTTGATCCTCTCCTCTTTCATCTCTTACTGTTTCAAACAACAACATTTCTCCATTGTGAGAGACTAATAAAGGATTTCTTATTTTATCTTATTTGTTATTGGTGATTTGTGTGAATATCCCTTGCATGTACGGATGACATGCATTCAGGTGCAAACATGTTGTACAGTATATTCCCTTGCTGTTTTGGCTGTGTTATCATTTATTACTTGGGAGTTACTGATGGCATACTTTGTTTTTTGTAGACGATATAACATTTTAGTTTGCTTTTATTTTTATGTACAGTTGATCCTCGCATACCTGTGGTTCAGCACCCAAGGATTCACATATTTACAGATTTTTTGTTTCAATATTTCATTTTTTGGGGGGCGGGGGGACTTTAAACACTGATTACAATGTAATGTAGCTACAGTGGAATGGGTGTCAATTTTCCGTGGATTTTTGCTTTTTGGGGTTCCGCCCGGTCGCTCTCCTTTGGAACAGCGGGGCTCCACTGTCATTTTTTTCTTTGGCTCTGTAAATCAGTTGTCTCCAAATTGCGGCCCAGGGGCCATTTGCGGGCCACAGGATGACAGTTTGTGCCTCGAGCATTAAAGTTTCAATGTTTTTGCGGCCCTACCCTTTTTTGCTGTGTCATTGCCCCGGGCGTTTTGTGTGTGTGTGTGTGTGTGTGTGTGTGTGTGTGTGTGTGTGTGTGTGTGTGTGTGTGTGTGCGCGCGCGTGTGTGTGTGTGTGTGTGTGTGTGTGTGTGTGTCACTTCTGGGCACAGTAGTCCAGGCTCATGATAGCTTTAGGCGAAATGTAATTCTGAAGTGACACCAAGTGGAAGGAAAAAAGAAATCCTGTCATTCAGTCCCAGTCATGTCTTTTTCAAAACTTGCCATAAAAAGGCGGCTTGGCGACGATAACAGCCAATTTAAAAAAAAAAACAGGATGGATGGGGTTTCTTTGTTGAGTAGAGAGGCCCACTGTCACGTCTTAAATGAATAGAGAGAGTTGGGGTGCTCACGAAACTAGCCGTCATGACTCAACTAGACATGCTGAGGAGTTTGCAAAGTAACATGGAGATGAGAGAGAGGACCGGCTCACCGATCTTGTTCATGTTGTGAAGAACCGTTAGTTTTCTGAACTGTTATTAATAAAGATTGAGAAAATTTTAGGATTAGTTGTCCTTTTTTGAGTACTTGAATCCCGTATTAGTGGAACACTTGATGCGGCCCAGACAGATCCAGATTCTCTCGCAAGCAGCCCCCGCAAAAGTTGAGTTTGATACCCCTGCTGGAAGTTGTTGCTTCAATTCAGTGTTGGCTGTGGG